GCTCTGAAGACGTATCACCTGAAAAAGCCACTGTCAAAGAAGAAACTCTACTCGGTTTTAGAGAAGGAAACAGTGAAGCCCTTGATGAAGTTACTACCACTGATGTGACTGTTACCAATGATAGGATGTTCCTGATGAAACAGTTGAACATCATATGAAGCAGAAGCCGACGAGACAGAGACTAGTACGGAAGAAGATACGTCTCGTAAAATTAAGAGACTTTGTTGAATTTTAATTTTGTGTTTGTAAATTCTGTACATTCAATTAAGTTATTGTTAACTGTTCATTGGTTTAGTGTAAGTGACTATTGCTCGGGACAAACAATACTAAGGAGGGGCAGTGTTATGACAGCAGAGGTCATGTGACGTTAGTAACACATCACGCACTTCTAGAACGTTCATGAAGCCTCAGGAGGTTACTAGATTTTGGTATTCTCGTTCATATAAGACGGTCAAGACGTGATGGCAACAATGCTGTGTAATTGAACTGTGGACAGAGAGAGAGACGTTCGTTGTGAATTATAGCATTTGTTATAGCGTGATCGTGGAAATTAAGTGTATTGCAAAGTTGTATTTAGAAAGAATAAACCAGTTTTATCAAGAAAGGACTTGTATTGCTAAAGTTTCTTCAGAAAGAAATTATACGGAAAATTAACTAACGACCAGAGAGACGTAACAATACATATGTTGAAATGACAGAAGAAGATATGTTAAATTGCATAGATGGACCTATCAGAGTTTGTGATCCTAACTTGGGTACGTATTCAGTACCTATTGTAACTTGTAATTATGTGATATTCGCAGGAATTAAGAATAGAATATCTGAACTATGTGAGAAGAGAATAATCATTCCTAAACCATTCTATTTTTATAAAACTAGAACTCCAGGAATTTGGTTATTTAACGTTAAGGATGAACTTACTTTGTCAGTTGTATGTCCAAAGTCAAACGTACATCAGTTTGATTATTATACTAGAGTAATTAAGCTAAACAATAGTGGTTATCTAAAATTAACTAGAAATTGTTCAGCTCATGGTCAAGGTATAACCTTACAGTCGAACTTTAGAAACTAAATATATATAGGGACTAGACTAAATATAAGGATTCCAGAATTACAATAATTACTAACGAAGAAGGAATTACAGTTAATTCAGAGTATAGATATAGAGACAGATATTAAAGGATTAAAAGATATACTAGAGGAACATTTACCTCTTAGGAAGTCAGGGTTAAGTCTTAAGGATTTTCAACAGCATGCAGACCGATTATGTGCTACTGCTGGAAAACAGAAGTTAGATAATTGGAAATTATCTAACTCGGTGATGATAACCTTATGCTTAGTAGTGGTACTAGTAAGCATAACGTTGTATATCAAAAGAGATAAATTGACTTTAGTAATATTAATGGCATTAGAGGGGCTATGTAAAACTAGAAACAAGAAAGAACAAGAACAGGCAATAATGAAATGTCTGAATATTCAGAAGTTACTGAAATAGTAGAACTGAATGAGTAGGCCCCATCTAATCAGGATATAGCTTGATTATTTAGATGATTACAAAATTATCTAGATATAACCACTTGGCAAGGTTGGTTGATTTCTAAAAGATGATATCAGTCAAAATTATAGGCAAAATTATTAGGTATAGAAAGTTTGAGAAAAGACAAAAATAGACAATGACCGAAAGTAAGAAGAGTTCGAGAAAGGACAGAAATAATAGACAGTGACCAAAAGTAAGAGACAAACGAAGCTTATGACCAGTAGACGAAAATAGACAGTTAGATAGTACAACGAATCCAGAAATAAACTACGCAGAATGACAGGAACTTCTATCAACAGATGTCAAGTATTAAGAGTGTGTTAGTGAATTGAAGTGTTTTGAATAGAGAGATTGAAGTGATTTAAATAACAAGTGTGAACGAGTAGCCATATGTACCAGAGGGACATGTGTATGACTATGACGAACAAAAGAACGAGTGAAGTGACTGTATAAACCTTCACTGGGACAAGTAATAACAATGCTCTGATAATAATCATAGGAAACAGGGACAAAGAGCAGCCATAGTGGAAGTGGAAGGCTTTAGAATTAATGGACAGTATTCGATAAAGGAATTAGCTGTGAAAGACTGTTGTTCCGGATGGACTGACATCTATTGTTTCAGGCCTCCATACCCTGAAGATCGCCTGAGTGATGCCGATAAGAGACATGTCCTATGGTGTACAGTATATCTCCACTGGACTGATGGCGACTATTCTATGCTGGACTTCTTACGGATTCGCCAGGGGATAAGGTAAGATTATGTTAAGATCTACACTAAGGGTAGAGAGAAGGCACAGCTGCTACAAAGACAGCTAGGAATGCCATGCCAGGACATAGAGGAATACAGATGCCCACACTACAGATGTCTGGACTGCAGTGAGCAGATCACTTGTGACTACCATCGTTACCCACAAGAACATTGTGCATATTGGAAGGTGTGCTCGTTATACCAATGGATAGCCACCAGTAATCGGGACATATTCCAGAACTTTCAGAACGATTTTTAAAGTAAATTTAAACTTGTATTTTACTGTATACCTTATTATATGTAATAGTTTAGATTGTTGGTTATCCTTAATAAGAAAAGTTTTATGTGTTAAATATATAATCCTATATATGGAATCGTATATATATATATATATGAATATATATTTTAATAATGTAAGCATTGGCTGATAAAGAGAGATGGAGATAGTGAGTTGGATGATTTTTCTAAGAAGGGAGGGATGAAGCAACTTGAAAATTTTTGAGGAAATTTTATAAATTGCTTCAGAGTTTTAGTAGTTGAAAATACATATAATAAAATCTTAAGGGTTTGTAGTATAAGCAAGTAGTCAAGGATATATATAAAAAGAAAAGAGGCGATGAGAGGATGCCTGTGTTACGAAATAAGCCTTGAGAATTGATAAACAGGAACTTGGTTA